TTTAATGACACAATTAAATATGTCATTGTTTTTGTGTTACACCCTTTACACTGGCTATGAGAGCCTCTTTTCCAAGTTCCTTGTAACAATTTACCACATTCGCAGATTTAAAAAAAAGTGCGGGATCAGAGATTGCTCATATGAAGGAAACAAAGTGTTTTATTACGTGAGAGTATTGGGTCGCAATAAAATATTTCAGAAGGACCACACCCTCTGGCCGCCAGGGTGGGCGCGCCTTAGCGCGGGGTGAAAACCGACGCAATGCCCGCGCGGCGACAAGACGCGTTGCGAGGCTGTCGCGCCGGGATGACGATGCGCATTTGTCGCGCGGGGGCGCTGACGCGGGGCGCGGGGCGGGGCGTGGAAGGGCTGTGCGATGGGGCGAGGGGCGGACGTATCGCGCGCATGCGAGCCTGCTCGATAAATCAAAATGGCGCATCAACGACGGCGCTGATATACTGTTGACATCCTCAATCAAAATGCCAGAAAGAAATATAATCTGCATTTAACGCAGGGGTCCAGGGAGGGGCAGTTGGCGATGGCATGAGCGTGCTCCCAGGGGTCGATCAGACTCCCGCTAGCGATGTGGGTGGAACGGCCAATAATTGTGGGATTCCAGGACCCTTTTAAAAGGGATATTTACTAAAACAACATCCTATCAGACATATTTTACTGAGATATATGAAGTATTTATCAAGGGAGTGTGATGAAATAATTTATCTTTTAAAAAATAAATGCTTATACTACACATGTTTCTGTTCAATGCATTATTCTCTTGTTAATACTAACATATTCTAAAAGCTATACATTGATTATCATCCATTATTATTTTTTTCAATTATTTATTAGTATATTTTTTGTAAATTTTAATACGCTTGGTGTGTTTCACTTCAAGCATATTGCATTTATAAATTATCCCGATAACATACACACTGAATTTAATTAATATAGGACGGACAACAATAGATGATGTAAATTGTTCATTTACATACCATGATGCACTTAAGAGCACAGACATTAAAAAGAGAAATGTCAACATAAAATGGTGTACCTTTTAAACTACAAAGCAGAGTAAAATAAAAAATGAAAGCACTTCAGTCACTGCTCCAAACATAGAAATGGAGGTTGCAAGATAATTTTTGACCACTTTTAATCTTGATTTTAAATGTTTTTGAAAACAAATGCATTCTAAAGTGAAAGGTAATAATGCGAGACGAATTTATTGCACCTCCATTTCTGACCCTGAAATGCAAAGGAGTTGAATTGAAAGCAAGAATTTGTGAAATACAACTTTTTCAATCGCCAACGCTGTAAGAACCTGTAATATGAGAATCTATTAGTAATTCAACATGGCACGATTTGCACAAGATTGCCTTTCGAGAAGGGACTTCAAAAGTGTCTTTGTAAATTGTAGGTGTATTATGAGTACGGGAGGGGTGTTCTGTGAAAAAAACGGCATTCTCATGCTTTAACAGAATCATGCACTGGGGGTCGACATCCCATTTCATTCAACCTATTAATCCCATTTCCCCGTTCGTTCAATGCACCCAAGAATGAGTCCTATTCACATTTCAGAGAACAATATCAGGGTATTCTGTGACCAATATTTCTAGCGATGTTTATTTAATTTTCGATTAAAGTTGTAATAATAATCTAATATTCATTTTAACAATAATTTAAATTTCAGTCCAAAGAATAGGTGAGGAAACTTGTCAGGAAATACTATCTTAAAAAGTACTCGCACGTTTCATTGCTAGCAAACAACGAAAAGAAAACAACAGCAACAAAATATACAGACGGATTAATTGTGAAGTTGACATCCCCAAAACAGTCAGATTCTCGGGCTTCATTTTTGCAGCATCCGTTCTACACAAGTTTCAACTTTGAAAGCGGCTGAATGAGCGTCAGCGAGCACCGCCACTGTGACTCCAACGCGGTCAGCACAGCAAGGGGCGATGCGGACGAGGAACCGTGGCCGGCGGCTGGACGAGACAGGGGGGGCGGGGGGGAGAGGGGAAGGAAGGGGCGACGCGGGGGCTGGCGTGGCGCAGCGTGCGCGTGCCTGCCAGGAGCCGCGGCCCGCGAGCACTTTGTTTCTGTTCTTTTGTGTTGTTCTTCAGTTTTGCAAGATGATCCTCTCGACGCGCCAAGTTTATTTTGTAGCCGTCTTTACTGCGCCAAGTTTGGGCATCACGTGCTCTGCTTGTCGGGCGTCAGATAATAAAACACACCCTTACGCCGCGCCCGACGACACCGGAAGGGGCGGAAGGTCGAAAACGAGATCGTGGTGGGTGTGGGTGAGTGGGTGCGCCGATGGGCGGGTCGAACGAGTCGTTGAGAGCAACGTACAATGGACGCGTAGTAAAAAAATCACAAGCCGAGATAATAATATCCTACGAGACAAAAATGAGAGAAAAATATGCGAGTTCAATTGAGGCAAAGAAGGCAGTGACCAATGATGTGATTACTAAATATTGTAGTATGTTTTTTCATAAATATAGATTTATTGCAGATGAAAATAAAAAATTGACGGGACACAGGATTGGACAATAATTTAGGAGTATATATATACATATGTGGCAACCAGGAAAAATGAGAAAGTTGGACAGTTTTCAGTAGAAGGGTAACTGCCACAGGGAACTTGCACTTGTGTTTGTGCTTTTACAAAAGTCGCTTATACTGCTGGTGTAAAAAATGAGAGGCATACGTATTGTCATGGTGACGGATTAAACGATAGTCATAGTAAGATGAGAATAAGTGACATTCAGCGAGATTGAGAGTCGCGAGACAGTGTGGATTGAAGTGACGGTGGAGAAGAAGGGGAGGAGAGAGAAGCACTGAGGTGGAGGAATGGTGGGTGGGTGGGGAAGGGCGGTGGCCAGTCGCCGCACCCACGCGCGCCAACTTTTCCCATTTTTGCGCGTCTTCAATTTGTTCTGCAGTTCCGCGTATCCGCTCTATATATATTTTCCGTCATGCCATGCCTCAGCCCGCGCGACCGGGCGGGCCGCGCCCGCTGCCGTGCCCCCGCTCTCCCTCCAAGTGTAGTTAAACTTTCAGGAGCAGCGCGCTCGACACTTGCTTTCTTCTCACGAGGTCGCACAAAAAACTTTTTTTGTCAGACGGTGCTATTAATGGTTCCTGTCGGCCGCTAGGACCACCATAGGTACCGCTAGAGATACCTCAGAACGCTGCAGATCGTTTTTTTCATCAGCGATTTAGTGTGCAATTTAAATTTGAAATTTTATGTTACGGAGAGTTTGAGAGTCACGTATGCGAAGGAAGTTGAGTTTGATTCGCAATAGTTATAATCTGGTTTCCGAAGTGAAGAATACTTTATTTAGTGAAATATAATTTTGATATTTAAATGCATATTAAATGCGAGTAAAGGAAAACAATAAATATATGCAGTTATTGTGCCCATTTCATTTATTCAAATATATTTTTTAAATTTCTCTTCAAAAAACAGTGCAAGTGTGACATAAGAAAATCAATACATAGTGTTATTTCACGAATATTTAATTTTTGCAAAATATTTTTGATATTTACACGTTTTCAATAAATTATTTCCATCCGCACGATGGGTTCCATACTAAACAGCTATGGGAAATTATAATGTGTTCGCAATAAATTCACTAAAAAAATATCCTACATCGTCTGCAATCGAAAAATCTGTTTTTAGCATTTCTTCACGAAAGTGACAGAAATCCTGGCGTTAAGAAGAACTTTTGCACAAGACAGATTTTGATGTTTAAAGTGTAACGAGGTTTAATAAACATATTTATGTTTGCCTCGCTGCATGCAATCCGACATTGAGCCTGTTTATTGTAAGACACACTTCCAGAAAATAAAATCCCATTAAAGCACGTTAGGAAAGCAATGTGTAAAATAAAATAAAAAAATCTTAAAATCCCAATGTGTTCCGAATCCTATTAGTGTTTGAAATTAAAATCTGATTAACTGTCGAAAATAGGGTTCTACTTCAAAGAGGAATTTAATTATTTTTCCTTTGCATTCGCTGACAACCGTGTTCTTGGGGGTGGCGCCCAGAACGGAAGAGCGGATCCGAGGGGCTAGGGGGTGGGGGAGGGGGAGGGGGCGACAGGGATGCCGTCTGCAGGGGACGAGAGGGAACGTGTCCACGTTCTCCACGGAAACCGAAGGGTAAATAGGAATTAATTTCTTTTCAAGAGCTTTTAAAGCGGTTCGTAATGTGATGGGAGAGCGCGCAGGCGCCCGGAAAGGAAAGATGGGTAATGAAAGCGAGAAAAGAGAGGAGGGTGGAAATGCGTTAGTTAGCACTAGAGAGGGTGAGAAAGGGAGCAGAGAGATTGGAACACCACTGATTCGTGATTCCGAGGCGCCGGAAGGTGCCTTCGTTTCTCTGTTCCAGTTTTTCTTTCCTTTTTTTATTGAGATCATTCCTTCCGGATTACGCCCATTTGGTTTTCGCGCTAAGGATGTGTACTTAAGGAAACGTAGAACCAAACTTTTCAATGGAAAACTGAATTACAAAATGTATCCCCTCCATACAATAAATGAAAAGCAGTAAATTTATAGAATATCTAAATCTTAGAGTAAATTTACATTTAGAAATGCAATATTACGTGTGCGCGGAGAATTTGATTTACGGTCAATAAGATTTATATTCGTTTGTAGTCCTTGTGTAAGTTATAACTAGAAATCTTGAACTATCAATACATTCACCCAATATTTTTTTAATTAATAATTTCAAACGCATTTAAAAAACTATGTTTTCGTCGTTGCCGTGAATAATCGCTAAACAATATTTACAGAAATTAGAATAAGGCGAACAACAGCACGTAGGTACATGCGCACGTCTCCACGCAGCATACAATTACATTTACGAGCGAGGAAATTCGTACCACATGCGAAAACAATACATCTCAGAAACACTGGTGCAGATCATACAGAACCAACAACAGTCAGAAACAACACAAAAAGAGAGACATCGAAGTGAAAAAAAAAAGCGTACTCACCTTTACTGGTACCGTCGGGTCCTCGAAGAATCGTGCACTCTTCTATAGTTCCGAAGGGGGCAAACAGTTGTCGTACATCCTCTTCAGTCTGTTGCTTACTAAGCATGCCCACGAACAGCTTTCTGTCTTCTGGAGCCAAGCGACGGGATGACGAGCACCGGGAACAGAGCAGAGACAGACGGAGTTCGCATGAGCGCCGGCGCGGGCGGCGGGGCACCACGCACCACCGACGCGACCCGACCGCGACCGCGACCGCGCACGCACACGCACACGCACGCACGGCGACGCGACATGGGCGGCGGCAGCGACGGCGGCGGCGGCTGTGGCGGCGCGCGGGGACGACCTCTTGAGGCCAGGGCGCGGCGCGGCGGCCGGCGCGTTACCGACAGTGACGATGGGGTGGGAAGCGTGGCGACAGCCGCAGATATCTGGGACGTACGTCTACTACGAGCGACACGCAGGTACGAGTAGGCTACGGCGTGCGAGGCGGGGCTGGGGGCAAGGCGGGCTGGTACAGAACCAGGTCAGGCGAGGTGGTGGCAGAGGTGGAAAGGAGAGGCTAGGCAAGGACCATGCCAGCTGGATGAGGCGGAGCGATGCAAGAACGAGGCAAGCGGTGAAGAGCGAAGCAAGGCAAAATGAAGCGAAGTGAGGCCAGAGGGAGAGAAACGGGGACATGCCGAGGAATGTGGCGAAATGGAGCAGGGCGGTGCGGGTGAGACGGAGAGGAGCGGTGGAGCCGGAGCGGAATGGGTAGAGGCGAGACGGAGCGAGTCGAGGCGGGGACCAGCGGTGGAGGCGGAGCGGAACGGGGTCGTGGCGGGGTTGGTCAAGGCGGAGCAGAACGGGTCGAGGCTGGGCGGAGCGGGTAGAGGCGGAGTGGAATGGGTGGAGGCGGAGCGGAGCGGGTCGAGGCGGAGCGGAATGGGTAGAAGCGGGGCGGGCGAGCCTTGGGGAGACGAAAAGGGTCTGAGCAAGATGAGGCGATGCGAGTGGGGTGGCGTGGGGCTTAGTGGGGATGGCGACTTTGGCGATGGGCCCATGGGACTGGGTTGGCGGCGTCTGCAGCGAGTTAGTCGTGAATTGTGCTTGCATTACGACAGGGGGCTCCAACCTTCGCCAGAGAAGGCTCACTAAATGATACCATAGCGGTAGTTGGAATTTGGTACACACGTTACCTAACTTATTTCTATTTCCAATATTTTGCAGGAAGAAAAATAGTCTTTTTTGTGAAATTGATAGTAAGTAAAATGCGTTTTACTAAATATATATTTTAATTTAATCTAAAGAATAAAAGCTTTGTCATGAGACTTTCAGAACACTTTTATCAGTGAATATTGACTTGTGTATTAATATAATGGTGTACTTACTTTTAAATGATGTTTAAACGAATATGTGGTCTTAAAATTCATTTTTATCTAAGAGAGGTATCTTTTAGTAAGAGAGTTGATTCAGAAAGGCATTAAAACCATTTGTATTTGGGCAACGGGAGGCAACATGAAATATAAAATTAATAAATGGTTATTGCACTCCTTCTCTGAAGACAGTGTACCGGCCGTGATTGATTGTCAATTGATATCATTAATTTAATGCAGTTATATAGTACGGCAATTCTGGTTTTCTAGAGGTAAAAGATTTACGTTTTTAAATGTAAATTCTTGTTTTTATACTGTGGCACTTGGCCAGAATCTGTAATTTTAAGTAAGTAGGAATAACACTCACCATATAACTTAATTAAACTAATTATATCAATTTACAAATAATTCATGGTCAGTGCACTCTTCGTAACTAGAAAATTATTCAATATTTGTATGAGAATTACACCTGATGTGAAAAAATCTCCAATAGAAACGTTGTGTCCTCCTCAAAAATATGTATGCTTTAATAAATGAAATGTACTTTCAAATAGAGACATCAGATGGGGTAATGAACAATAGTAGGGTTGTAATTACGCTCCGAAGTTCAGTAGGCGAGTGACGCTGCAACATGGAAGTTTCGAACCGACACGTTCTGTCTACTCTGCTATATGTAGTAGCAATTTCGCCACAGTCCAGCGTTTGTCCTTACGTAAGCACTGGATTGTACGATTGACATCACCCGCGCATGTTTGTCCTTGGACCCAAGACGCCCACTGAGCAGCAGATCGTCAGTTGACTCTCCGTTTGGAAGCCACCATCCACCGCACCACTCACTGTATAATCCATGCATGTCCAGAGCTTGTTTATGCCAGTTCCGAGAATTTCTCACGAGGACGACTGCTATTTTAGCATACGAACGTTACTGTTTATTTCTGATATTCAATTCCGGGATGTATCACTCGCTAATTAAACCTAGGCGCGCGCTTAGCATATCAGTCTTGTCCGCATTCACTTATCCACATACCGTTTGCGATATATAAAATATTCAAAGGTTTAGATACACGATAGAACTCTCGGAAAAAATCGACGAATGGGCGTTACTGAAAATTAGATAATTAATAGTAACTTTTCTAAGAAGAGTGTTTTCGTACATACTTAGGTCGAAATAGACACAAAATACTTTGCGTGCAGTATCTACTGTGACTGTCATTAAAAAGTGTTTGTATTAAACATTAGATTTCAATTTTCTCTTTCATTTTTGAGTTTTTACCAAACTATTAATACATACTTATGATAATGAATTTAATATTAAACTATTGGCGCTATAACAGCACATGTGTTCTTGCTCTATTTCTAAATTTACAATTTTTGAAAATTCAAAGAGTTCAACGAAAATGAGACCAGTGCTATTCTTTAAAGTGTGAAAAAATTGAGAGGATTTGAGAATTTTTTTTATAAATTGCATTAATTTGAAGCCCAAATTACACAAAAACTAGTCGTTTATTCAAAAACGTGTACATGATGTTTTTTAAAGAGGTGATCTTGATACAACATACTTTGTTTAAGGCAAACATCTTTCTTCAATTTTGTAGTTTTGAAATATTAACTTTTTGCAACTTTCGAAAATACGGAGGGTTTGTCTGATGTGGGACTGGCACAATATTTTTTACCGTCCACTCATACATACAACAAGAAAATAAAAATAAAAAATTGGAGCAGTTTTTAAGACAAAAATGTTTTTAAAATTGCCTACATTTTCTATAAAATTTCACGAAAATATTCACATTTTAAAAAAAATTGAACATGATCTTATTTCAAGATCTGCTTTTACAAAAGAGATTTCATTCAGAAAAAATGTTCATTTTGAACATCGTAGTTGTAAGGGACATTCCCCCCTCGCGCTTATGTAATTTTCAAAAAAATTAAGGAATTTCGATGAACATGATATATGCAGCATTCTCTTACGCATCCTTTAGGCTATCCGAAAAAGTTTAATAAAAAAATTTGGATCCATTTTTGAGCAAATTTTGAAAGTGTGTTTAAGGCTTCATATAAAGTACCCTCAAAAGTCAAATTATCCATTTGAGATTCCCAAAGCCTCAAATTCTTTCAGATCGATCGGGAAATATCAATTTTGGAGGAAATGGGCTGAACAGTTTAAACGCTGTCGTTGACCACAGATGGACATACAGACATTTTGCCATCAATAGATTTTTCGGCATCAAGGATCCACAAAATGCGGATTCTGGCTACACCATGTGTTAGAGGAAACACTCTTTTGTTACCAGAGCCAGACAATAAGGGTTTCTGTGGAAGAATCGCAGTTTTTCGTGATTAAAAGACTTTCTCTTCTTACGAAGTATGGGCGAGAAAGTTAAAACTGGATTGTGTAAATAAATAGTTGTCAAATACAAATAATTTGTAGGATATTAATTTATATCTTTTAATTCCAGCATTGTTTTTAAGGCAAAACGTGTTCATTAAATAAACAAACTATTCTTTATAATTCGTTACAAAACAAACTACGTAATAATCTGATTATTTAAATTTAAAGCTCAACGTGTTTATCTTACTGATTATTTAACATACCATATTCATTATAAGTTTGTTTTTTGAATTGATGAGCAATATTTTTCCCGCCTAACTAATCTTTGGTGCAGGACAAAGCCCAAAAGTTGCTGGTGTGACCTCCATGCGCTCCACCCAGCCACCAGCTCGTGTTTCCCTCGCAATAAACTCGTTTCAAGTCCCTCTGGCGAGCGGTATGTTGTTAGCAAGCGACATGGCTGGCTTCACATCCCCGGCGCAGGCTGAGATTACACAAAGCAGCAGTTGGACCCTCCGCGAAGTGCGGCGCTCCCGCCGCCTGCGCCCGCGCGGCCGTCGCCCCCAGCTGCCGAGCTGCCCTTCCGCCCTCGCCTCCACCGCCGTTGCTTCTTGCCCCGTTCGTAACAATTCAGACGTATCGCAGAATTTGGCATGGAGTCAACGAAATTAGAGATTCTTATTACTACTAATGTCGCAGCTACTGTACTGTCAGATATTTCTGTTTTATTCTCTAATACTACAGTACGCGTTTCATAATTGTCCTAAACCATTCAGGTCGATATCAGCATTTGCTAATGCTATTTTAGCCTCGATACGAAGTCATTCATTATTCTTTCAACATCTTGCCACCCCCACGATTGCTTTTGCACTAGTAGGTTTTAAACTGGCCAACCCTCCTTTCTTTCTTTTCGTACCCACTTTACTTTCAGCCCAGCTACCTTCACGCCTAAATTCCTGATTACAGCTCTAACAACTATGTCCCTCACCAGATACACCATCTTGTCCGTTACCATCAGCTTCACGAGCCATACCCCTAATACCTTCATTGCTTGCATTAATTCTCAATGTTACTGTACAAACATTATTCTCATTTCTATCGTTCTCATATCCATTCTCTCAACTTCTCGCCTTTTGAGATGTACCGTGCTACCACAATCGCTCCTAGTCTTCAACCTCCCAAAGTAGTCTGTACGGCCGTTGTTTTAACCTACGTCTGCCCCTAACCGGCGTCGTCCTCTGCCCTCTCTTCCCCGCCTCCCCCCGGGCGTGCTCTCCAGAGGCGCGCGCGGCGGTCGGCGCCGTGCCAGTTGCCAGAGACGTCGGCGTGGCGGGGCG